TCAGTTGAAGGTTTCAGTGTCCTTGATTTCAACCACATGAAGGTAAGCTCCTTATCTAGGCGATTCTCCTCCAATCGGCTCCAATATCTCCCATGCAGCGGCATAGTGGAAAGTGTTTTGGATTTTCGCTCAGCGCACGCTTGTTTAATGATATGCTTATTGGGTAAAGCTGGTCCAGCTGCTGGCAGATCCAAACTCGACAGGAACTTAGCGGCCTTTGCAGTTATTGAGTGGCTTTTTGTTGTAGGTTTTTGTTGATGATACTGATAAAGCAGGCTTATTCTGTCTATTGGGCTGGTACTCATGTAGCGGGCCAGGCCACACATGCTCCGGCCGTGCATATCCTCACAAGAGACCAAGCCCCGGCCTCCATCTCCCCTCTTCATGTAGAGCCTGTTGACTGAGGCTTTGGGGTGGTGAAATCCAGACGCAGTCAAGGCTGATCTTGTCACTCGATCTGTGGTCTTGATTTCAGCCTCGGTCCAATTTACGATTCCATAACTATATGTCATAACCGGCAGAGCATACGTATTGATGGCCTTTGATCATGTTTCGCGCATTCAATCCACTGTTAAGAAGCAAATACAATCTCTTTTTGTATTCTGCAGTGAGTTGTGCCTTGAGCTTCGGGTGAGGTATCATGGCTGCTTGCACTACTCCAAGGTACTTGTATGTTTCATTGAGTCGTAGCGACTCTGCAATGGTCTCATCGCCAACCTGGATAGAGCATCCTTCATCTGGTTTTCCTCTCCTGACGTGCAGCACGGCACACTTGGCCGGGTTGAGATTCATGCCGATGTCATCACCAACGCCACACACAGTAGACACGAGGGTAGTCACATCCTTTGTAGTTTTCCCCATAGAGTTTAATGTCGTCCATGTACCAAGAGTGATTGATAGACAACTCGGCGTCTCTGCAGCTGACTCTGTATCCCAAAGGCAATCGGTTGAGCTCAAAACTGATTGGTTTATTATTATTATTATTATTATTATTAAAAGTAGAAAGGAAAAGGACATATGGAAACGAGTTAAGAGTAACTCTCCACCACTGTTACTAGATACTATACAGTCAGAAAGTTGTTGCACTTTTCTGACTGTATAGTATCTAGTTACAGTGGTGGAGAGTTACTCTTAACTCGTTTCCATATGTCCTTTTCCTTTCTACTTTTATTATTGGCTCAATACCAGAGTTTCAAATTATTATTATTATTATTATTATTATAGTCTCTTTCCCTCAAACCAGTTAATACTATTATTATTACTACTACCAATAAAGAGAAATGGAGGGAGAAGAAACAACACCTATGAAAATGATAATCCTAGCACTAAGGTAATAACAGGAAACACTGCTAAAGCACTTAACGAACTTGTAAAGACTACTACTAGCAGCTTGTTCTGTCTGTTTGGCCCTGGTTGGCCATGGTGTCATATCTTGTGTCACAGTATACTAGTAGTCTTTACAAGTTCGTTAAGTGCTTTCGCAGTTTTTCCTGTTATTACCTTAGTGCTAGGATTATCATTTTCATAGGTGTTGTTTCTTCTCACTCCATTTCTCTTTATTAGTATCTTTCTGGATTGTTTTTCATTATTTAAATAACCGACGAAGAGACAACAGTCGTAAAATAGCAATGAAAAATATCAATTGTGCACTCATAATCATGTATAAACAATTAAAATGAAACAATTCCAGAACGTTTTCGTGTGACCATCATCAGTGGAACATCGTCACATAGTAAGAATCACTAAAACAACCAGTTATATAGCTAGAGTAACATGAAAAGAAGCGTGAGAATGCAGCACAGCTAGCGGTTATGCATAACGCGTGTAGTGTGAACCTTTGCAGTGTATCTGAGAATGGTAGCAGTAGATGAATGTGGCAGCTGTGAGTGCGTGTGAACAAAAACTGGTGAGTGTGTATTATTTAAAAAGTGTGAGTGCTACAACATTTTCTTTTTGCTTGCATAGAACAGGGTCACACGCACTCACAGCTGCCACATTCATCTACTGCTACCATTCTCAGATACACTGCAAAGGTTCACACTACACGCGTTATGCATAACCGCTAGCTGTGCTGCATTCTCACGCTTCTTTTCATGTTACTCTAGCTATATAACTGGTTGTTTTAGTGATTCTTACTATGTGACGATGTTC